GGTGCAGGAGATGCCAGGAGTCAGTGGAGTTTTGGGGGGGCCTGGGGGACTCTTGGAGAAACAATGGGGCATTAGGAAGCTCCAGGAGCAGAGAGGATATGGAGGCACTGGCCCTGCCCAGCAGTGCAGTGGGGTGCCTGGGGCACAGTGGGGTATCAGGGCTGGGGGATGTTCTGGGCAGCAGGGTTATGGGGAAGCTGCATAGCAGAGCAGTGGGGAGCCAGGGGGCACAGTGGGGTATCAGGGCTGGGGGAAGTTCTGGCCAGTGGGGTTATGGGGGAGCTGCACAGCAGAGCAGAAGCTAGGGTGACCTAGTGTGGTATCAGGGCTGGGGGATGTTCTGGGCAGCAAGGTTATGGGGGACTGGGGTGGGTGAGAGCACCGCAGGGTTAATTTACGGCTCTAGGGCAGGGTTACTCCGCTCTCAGGGGTTCCCGAGCACAGTCCATGAGCGCCTTGTGCCCCCACTGTTGTCACCCCAGGCCCGAGGCATACCGCAGAGCAGCACCCCATGTTGTCACACCAGTTGCTACCAGTAAACGCATCTGCCTGGAGAGCCTCTGGTGAATTCACTGGTGCCAGGTCCCAGTGCCCTGTGCCGGGTGGTGACACGGAGCTTCGGCCCAGCCATGCTTCTCCGACACCACCTTTACTACCTGCAGCTGGCGGCTGCCCTCTGCTGTGATGGGTCCCACTGCATGGACACTTTCACTGGGGAAGGACTGTGGGGCAGGGAGAGCCCTGGGGTAGCAAGTCCCAGCTCTCAGACCAGGTCCAGCAAAGAGGAGAGTTGAAGTAGAAGGAGGGCTGGGTACCAGGACTAGGAGGTTCTATCCTGAGCTCTGGCAGGGAAGTGTGGTCTAGTGGTTAGAGCAAGGTGGGGCTGGGAACCAGGACTCTTGGGTTCTCTCCCTGGCTCTGGCAGGGGAGTAGCGGGCAGGTTCCGGGTGATGCTTCATCTCATGGGGCCTGTGTTTGGAGCTGGCAGGGGAGCCCCAAGCGGACCCCTTCATGGTGTGGCCCAGGTTAGTAAGTGGCTCATTGCCAAGGAGAGGCATGTGCAGTGTGGGTACACACTGGCTGATTCGGGGCAGCTCTTAGGGCTCGTAGGAACCAGGCTAATGAAAACAGCGGGCAGCCAGGGCCTATGCATGTACTGTGGCTGGGCGCAGCAACAGCTAGCGAGGGGTTGCCGGGACAATAATGGAAAGGTGGTGCCAGTAGCAGCCACGGGGGACTCCCACCTTCCTAGTGAACTCACGTGGCACGTGGGCGCAGGCTCGGCACTGCCAGGCCGTCTTCCCACAGCGGAGAGCAGTGCTGCGTGCGACCTCGCAGCAGTGCGGGAGGGCTCCAAATGGGGCTGGGAGCTTCCTGGCGGCAGTGCCCGCACCCCACCCACCTGTAAGCTTCCTGATGGCAGTGCCACCAATAGGGCTGTGAGCTTCCTGGGGGCCCCGTGGCTTGGGCAAAGCAGAGTCCCAGTGCCAGTGTTCCCTGTAAGCTGGGCGCTTGTGCGGCCACCCAGCTGATTAGCAGAGCGCCCACAGCCAGGTTTTGTTTCTGCTGGTGGTGCACATTCGCACATGCCTCGGTGCACCACAAATATTCTGCACATGGATGGAAATGATACGGGGGGACATTGCCCGGTGCCCAGGGGTGAAGGCTGTGGAAGCTGACGGATGGTCCTGACCTGGCCCGTGGAATAGCTGGTCTGTGTACAGGGATTTTATAGCAGCTGCTCAGGGATACAGGACAGGGAGCTGCCCTGCTAGGCTGCAGGTTCAATTCTCACCCTAGGAGGCTGGGGCTGGGTTACTATCTCATTGTGAGGTGAGTTTGCTGGGGCTCTGCTCACCGCTCCCCACCCTGCCCAACTCGGCTGACCCTGAGAACAGGTGGCTCCTGGCTGGCAGCTCAAGGGACACACTCTCCCCCCTCCCCTAGTGGCTTTTGGGTGCCATGACCCAGAGGAGCCAGTCTGAGCCAAAAGCACCAGGGGGCAGAGGCAGTCCCAGCCCAGTGCAGGACAGGACACAGGGCTGCAGGCACCCTTTGGCAACCAGCCTTGCTGCTTTGCATTCCTTGCTGCAGCCTCCCTGCCCACCTACAGGCAGGACAACCAGTGTTGGTGCCTCCCCTCCCCCCAACCAGGGGCAAAGATGAAAGTTCCCAGGAGGTGCCTGCAGCTACAGGCACCAAATTAACCAGAGCCATTGGCCCAGGGAGGGTCGCCATCCTGCCCACTGACCCGCCCCCCTCCCAAGTGCTCTGGGTTCCCTGCACAGCCTCCCGTCGGCAGCACTGCAGGGCAGCGAATGCAATTGCGACCTAACTGACTGCCATTGGCGCCGTGTGCAGGTGACCAGTGGAACTCACAGCCACTGGGCGTTAGAGGGGAGCACAGCAAGGTGGGGTCAGGCTGTTGTGCATGGAGAGGGCGAGCAGTCAGCAGGGATAGATGCCCTCCTTCACGGGGAACGAAGCAAACCCCCCCTCCCCGGTAGAGCAGGGGCCTCCCCTCTGGGCCACTGGTTCCAGAGCTGACCGCTGTGGAGTTCCCCAGAGCAGCAGGCCCTGGGAAGCAGATTAGATGGGCGCTCCTGGGATCCAGGACCCCGAGTGAGGGGGCCCCCAGCGCATAGGCTGGCCCGAGGGCAGAGACCCTGATAGAAAGCGTGCTGGGATTCTGGGGCCGGTGAGCAGGGCACAAGGGGGCAGGACATATCCATGGTGGGTCACAGAGTGTGGAAGCCATGGGGGGCTGGGAAGAGCCCCACCTTGATGCCCTGACATGAGGCTGAACCCCCATGTGCAATGAGGTTTGGGGGGCTCAGCCCCTGCTGCTGGGACATGCCTTCCCGTGCCCCCCTCACCAGCCTCGCTGGAGCCGGGCTGAGGGGCGTCAATAGGAGGCTGAGCCTGCCCTAGGGATGCCTCACTCGCCAGCATCCTTCTCTGCTAGCAGTGGAGTGAGGACACTCCCTGGGAGTCGCACACTGACTCACGCTACAAACACACAGGCCCTGCCCTGACCTCAGCCTGCCCTGCAGCCCAGCCCAGCCTCCAGCCACACAGCAGGGCAGTGGAGCCACTGGGCGGGGGAGGGAGGGGTGTACAGCGTGCGTGCACATGTACTCCATGAGCAGGGCTCTGTGAGTGTACGTACAGCTCGCAAGGCTGTATGTAGGCACATATACAGTGAGCATGGCTTTGTGTGTGTGTGTGTGTACAGTGTGCCAGGCTGTGTGCACACAGGAACAGTGAACAATGCTGTCTGTGTACAATGTGTGCATATGTATGCATATGTACAGTGAGCATGGGTCTCTATGTGTGTATACAGTGCGCACAGCTGTATGTGTGTGTGTGTGTACAGGGTGCCGAGCTGTTTGCACACATGTCCGGTGAGCACGGCTGTGTGTGTCCAGTGTGTCCAGTGAGCACGATGCTTCCGGTGAGCACGGCTGTGTGTGTCCAGTGAGCACGGTGCTGTGTGCACACATACAGTGAGTGGGATTCTGTGTACAGTCACTCATGTATCAGGGAAGAAGGGCACCCAGGAACCCTGATTCCCAGGCTGCTGCACACCCCTTGCTCTGCAACAGCCCCAGCGCCCTGGGTCTCCCCCATCTCCCGTGTGAGCAGTCCTGGCCAGTGGAAAGAAAAGCCTCCACATGGTTAGAGGAAGCCAAGCCCAGCTCCCAGGGCTAAGTTCATGTTAGGATGTGGAGACAGTGGATAGAGCTCAGAAGCAGGCAATGAAGATGATGAGGGGGCTGGAGCACGTGACCGACAAGGACAGGCTGAGGGATTTGGGCTTATTTAGACTAGGGATGTAATAGTATAGTCGATTAACCGATGAGCAAAAGCTGATAGGTTAATGCTATAGGCTACACGCATTCCCCGCTCCCCCACTTGCCAGTAAATATTTTAGCACGCTGGCTGGCAATCTGGCTCAGTCCTGGTTTGAAACGGGTCCAAGACCTACCCCTGCTGCAGATCTCCATTTAAAGTGTATTAGAAGCCAGGCGGGGCAGGCAGTCCAGCTCAGTTCTGGCTTGCACTGGATTCGGGAGCTCAGACTCACAAAGGCTTTCAAGAATGATTTGAGTTTGTAAAGCCTGGCTTACAGAGAGATCTGTAAGAAAATCTGGGAACATGTTTTGTCTGTCATGAAAGCAGAATGTGTTCTTTTTTTCCTCATTCCTCTGCTTTCTTCTTATTTTTTTGATTTGACATCCTGGCCTCTGTCCAGCACAGAGGTGCATGATCAGCACCACGCCTTCATTGCTCTTGCAAAGGCTTCTTTCAAGTTTGAACCCATTCCTTCCCTCTATTAGCCGATATTTAACATCCCTAATTTATACCCAAGCCCCACTCGCGCCGCTGAAGCGATACGCACCGTGCATGACGATTTCCCTTAATGCTTCTGCTCACAGGACGGGCATCAGTACTGCAGCAGCCAGTTTGTGGAAGCGAGGCCATTGAAGCCAATAGCCGTTTTCTGCCATAACAGGATGAGAGGCACTGGGAGGGGTTCCCTAGGGAAGTGGCGGAATCTCCATTCCTAGAGGTGTTTAAGTCTCGGCTTGACACAGCCCTGGCTGGGAACACTGAGTTGGGTTGGTCCTGCCTTGGGCGGGGACCTGGACTTGATGACCTCTGATGGGTCTATATCACAGCCAGGCGAAAGGCGCCACCTGCTGGGGGAGAGCGGCACAGCGCACTCCCCAACACCCATGGGGTGCAGGGGCACGCTCGGAGCCACTGCACGAGGGAGATGTGCCCCACTCCCACTGCAATCCAGTCGATCAGTCCATGGCAGAGCTGAGGCTAGGACCAAGGAGTCCTGGCCCCCAGCCACCCCTGCTCTAACCCACTAGCCCCACTCTCCTCCCCATGCTGGGGAGAGAACCCAGGGGTTCTAGCCCCAGTAATGCTCTTTAGCCATTCAACAGCCCTGCCATGGCGAGGGGTGAGTTCACTGCCTTCTGGCCAGCCCAGGAGCAGAAGGGTCACAGAGCCAGAGAAGGGGACAGCTCTGAGAACAGGGGGATGGGCTCCCTCCCATGACCCTACTCACCTGGCAGGTCCAAGTGGCTGGGCTGAGTGTAAGGCTGGGACTAATAATCAATACCCAGCTCTCATCTAGCTCTTCCACAGGTGGGGAAACTGAGGCACAGAGAAGGAACTGGTGCTTACTCCAGGCCTCCCAGCAGAAAGGGGAATAGAATCCAGCATCTCAGTCCAACTCCCTAGCCACTAGGCCACACTGTCCCTAGCAATGCAGCAGCACCTCCTGGCTGCTCCAGAGGGACCCCCAGCAGGCAGCACCCAAGGAGAGCCAGAGGAGTGCAGCTCCTACATGTCCCTCTGGCTGTGGTGTGTTGGACCCTGCAGGAGGCTCTGCAGTGCCTCATGGAGCCTGTTAAAATAAGCTGGGGCAAGCTACCTCCCCGGGGTGGGGTCCTGCCTTCTGCAAGTAGCGATGGGGCCAGGCCTCATCCCTTACTCACACAGCAGGGCAACCAGCTCCTATTGCATTGCACCTCTCTCCATGCACTTCACTCCCGCTAATGCAGCATGACCCCCATGCACACAGCCTGCTCATGCACCACAGCCCCCATGCACAGCCCCCGCTCATGTAGCATGATCTCCACGCACACAGCCTGCTCATGCACCACAGCCCCCATGCACTGCCCTCCCCGCTCATGTAGCATGATCTCCATGCACACAGCCTGCTCA